TCATAATGGGTTACACGAATAAGCTACACAGAGGCGTAGCGACCCTTCCCGGCGCCCGGGGACAAACTTTCAATTTGGCGCCCCCCTCGGGAGCAAATTTTCGATTTGCACCCCCCTCCTCAAACTTTCGATTTGCACCCCCCTCAAACTGCATAAATGCAGCTTAAATGACATTTTAATTTGTTTTTAAAACCCATTTTGGCGCCCCCTAAGGTCGGCGCCCGGGGACATATGTACCCCCTGCCTCCCCATCGCTACGCCTCTGAAGCTACAGTAATGATGTTATGCAATGTGCCATTGGAGCACAGGAGGGTCCACTAGTGATGAACTTTTCAACGGCTCATAGGGCCACACTTATGGGCCATAGTAGACATAGGATCAGTGGACCATTGGTCTGTTCTGAGCCATAAAATACACTATCGTTTTAAACGTCTGGTATAATTAACGAAGCTTTTAAAAAAAATCAATCACTAAACAAGAGATAGCCTTTCAATAATGTCCAAACCGTGTCTGATTTTTATCTTAGTTTTTAAAGAGCTCGTGCGTCTAGGGATACTCTCCCCTTGTGGACAGCTAAAATGTCTGAAAAACATCCGCAAAAAAAAGTTTCGCATTAATAAGAAACGGAAAAAAAGTGTAATAGTACTGAGTTTTTAAAAGTGTGCAGTTTATTTTAATAGCTCTAAGCTGTTGTTTTTTTCCTGCTCTTTTATTTATAATTAAAAAAGAATCATAAAAGACTTAAACGAAATATGGTTTACTTTTTAATACAGGTAGAATTAAGAAGAGAAATCTTACAAAAAAAAAAAAACCTGTTAAAATATGAACAAAACAATTATTTAATAATCTTGACATATTGACCTCAAAGCATATAAACATGTTGCGTTTAAAAAAATACGAAAATAATAATAATAAAAAAAAAAACAACAATCCGAAAACCAACAACAACCCAACAGCATGATCATAAACTGTCACACATTGTTAGGTGATCACTGATGTTAAATAGACTCCATTCATATGTATATGCACTGCAAGGCGTTTTTTTAAAAAAAAAAAAGCATAATAATTGTTGACAGCCTTAGACAATTTCCAATAACAACTACAGTTAACAAAACTCTCACCAAAGTAATTTTGTTCATAATAAACTGTAATAAAATCAATCAATCAAACAAACGAAAAATAAACAGATAAAATAAAAAGCATTTTAACCTATTTAATTTAGATTTTTACAGTTTAAATTTTATAATTTCTCTCTGTTACATTGGTATAAATATAAATTCAAATACAATACTTATACGAGTATAATTTGTAAGTTATCTATAGACAGTACTATCTTTTCTATATTAATACAGTGCTTTGCGATAGTAATTCATGTTAGCATAATATACTTTTTAAAATACAAATCGTACAGGAACTAGTATACCAAAATCTTAATTTTGGTAAATTTATTTTGCGATTTAAATTCTTTTCATCCTCATGTAAATGTATGCTCATCAAAGGCTTCATCATAACAAAAAAAACACAATTTTTTTTCTGCAAGTACTTAACATTGATTGTAATTTATTGGTGCCGCTTAAAGACAAGAACAGTGTATGTGTGAGTAAAAATGTTGCTCACATGATGCAGATTGCAGATTCCCGTACGTGGGGCAAGCGATGGAACTGATCTAATCTAAATCTACACGAGCCCACGGCACACAGCGCAATCTGGATTAGGGGCAGATCAGACAAGTAAACGATTTAGTCAGAGATGGAGTATTGGCCAGGGGAGGGTGGAGGAAGGGGGGGGGGGGAGGATTTCAAACCCGTACCTCATTTCTGACAAGCCCAGAATGAAGCAAACACTGGGATGGTTTATTTATACAGCAAATAGAGTTTATGATAAAACTCTGTCGTAACAGGCTCATCAGACTGGTGGGGTCCTAATATGTGAGTCGTAATTCGACATATGTAACATAACAGGTTCATATGACTAGGTGTTTCCTAACATGTGTGTCTTAACAGACATTCAAAACACATGCCCTAACAGGCAATAAAAACACGTGCCCTAATAGGTAATTTAAACACGTGCCCTAACAGGTAATTCAAATTACCTGTCCTAACAGGCAGTGTAAACACGTGCCCTAATAGGTAAACGTTGTGCCCTAATAGACAATCAAAACACGTGCCCTAACAGGCAATCAAAACACGTGCCCTAACAGGTAGCGAAAAAACATTTTACAAAGCTCTCACACTTTTCCTCCTTCTCCACGTGAGAACACAGGCGAGGGCTACAGGCTTCATGTTTTGCTTGTTAGAAAACCGCTAGGTGCAGGCTGAACTCTAATAAACAAACTTTGAGGGCAGACGTCAAGTTTATTCATAGAGAACAAGGTCTCGTGATAAGCGAAATAACACTGGTTAGAGTTAACAAAAGAGTCTGTTTCTCAGACATTAAATAAAACAGTTTCGCACTCTGTCAATAACACGTTTCACCGATACACTCCACAACATCGATACACTCTACTGCATCAATACACTCCATGGCTTCGACTCATTCTACAGCATCGATACACTCCGCAACATCGATACACTCTATTGCATCAATACACTCCACGATTCTATGCACTTTACAGCATCGATGCACACTCCGCAACATCGATACACTCTATTACATCAATACACTCCACGACATCAATGCACTCTACAGCATCGATGTACACTCCGCAACATCGATGCACTCTATTGCATCAATATACTCCATGGCCTCGCTACACTCTACAGAATCGATACACTCTACAGCATCAATACACTCCAAGGCATCGATACACTCTACAGCATTGATACACTCCACAGCATTGATACACTCCACATCATCGATACCCTCCGCAGCATCGATACACTCTGCAGCATCGATACTCTACATCATCGATACACCCTACAGCATGTTAAAACTATCGATTATTTGGTTGAAAATGTACTCAAAGAACGAATGTTTATGCGCACTTTCTGGTTGGACTCACCCTGGAGCCTGACAGCTGCTCATCGCGTCTGCACGCGGGTAAACGATCTGAAGCACGCGCACGCAAAGTTATGTCAGGTTGGGAATAAAATAATGAAGTGCCGCAACGCAAATACCCCCCCCTCCCCCACACACACCTCCAGAAAATTATACGTTAAATCTAATCAAATTGTTGACCCCGCTTTAAAAGTGTTTGTTTTGTTTGAAGCAAATCCGTTACAATTACAGGAAAAGAGCGATCACTCTAACGAAAAGTGTCATTTCTCGCCAGCAGGTGGCGTAGCTGTCTCGCGAAATGAATCGGTTCGGCCATCTCCAAATATAAAAGATCGAACACCCCAGCGTGGCACATATGTGCCGACCGACTCGGCGGATCGCAGCGTTTATTTTCTATTCAGCTGCGCATCGAATACTTGATGAAGGATTGGGGGAAAACAAGTTTTCATGCCAGATTTTTATCACGCGTGATGCCAAAGAAAAAAAAAGAAAGAAAGAAGACGAACATTTTGCGATGGCGTTGTAAACATTGCGTGATCAAACGCTATATTTTGGTGTCTTTCAATAATTATTTGATAATACACATTCTCTAATGTTTAGTTTTTATGTGATCTGGCGGTGTAAGTTTCTCATTCATGTGAAATAAGTAAAAAAAATAATAGATAGACTAAGCTTATAAGTATATAATGTAATAGTGACATGTTAACATTAAATGTATTTGAAGTGAGTAGCAAAACAATAACATTAGACAAGAAAAAGGCATTTACAAAACACACATACTATAAAACCCACTAACATCACAGACATACTATAAAACCCACTCACATCACAGACATACTATAAAACCCACTCACAACACAGACATACTATAAAACCCACTCACAACACAGACATACTATAAAACCCACTCACAACACAGACATACTATAAAACCCACTCACAACACAGACATACTATAAAACCCATTAACAACACAGACATACTATAAAACCCACTCACAACACAGACATACTATAAAACTCAGAGAAATAAGCCCAGTCGGAGAAGTGCATGTCATTTTTATTTCTCTTGATGTTTTTATAGCACCTTTGTGTTCGTTCCCTAATCCTAGAGTTATAGCATTACTACTGCCTCGGTTAACGATGGACAGAGAGCACAAATGATCCACTAACGATCAGTGTAACAAGTACAACGTCTTCATCATCCATTCTCCTCGTGAAATAGTTTTTGTGTAGCCTACATTAACCCGATCTTCACTCTCTCTAGCGAGGATCACCTCTCATCTTTCAGTGATGTAAATACACAAAAAAAAAGTTACACACACTCAGCCATCCTCCCATCACCCCTGCCCATCTAATGTGGCCAGATACACGGTGTTTGCTTACAAAGACCGGGAAAAAAAACGTAATACAATAAAAACATATTAATTCCATCATACTTTCCTAACAGCAAAAACTATCTAAAGCTCCTCTAGCTAACAAGTTTAATGTATGTGGCATTATTATATGAGCAGTGTAGCGACGTGCTATAATGTGGGTTTTAACAGCAAGATTTTTTTTTTTACCGTTGAATAGTTATGCAGCATTTGCTAATTTTGGCTGCAGATTATAAAATCTTTTTATAGAAAAAAAAAGAAAAAAAAAAACCCAAGGCTTAAAACATTGGGGTGTAACTCAGCGCTTCTAAAAGGGCAGTAACTTTTCTATAGGTTGTTTGTACATTTTTTTTTGACCTTTTGGTTGGTAATTTAATTTGACCTCTATATCCCAGTGACGGACAACATTTTCGCCGGGGTCGTTGTTGGCAAGGGTTTGAGGATACATGATCTAGGTGTTATTAAATGAAGTAAAACAAAATCCTTAGATTATTTACATAATTTCAAAAATGTTTACCATAAATATAAGAATGTCATCATGGTTACTTTTTTTTTTAAAGATTTGTTTTTGCCTGTAGATCAAGTTTAATATTCAGTATCCGTAGTTGGGCATAATAATTAAAAAAAAGTATTGTTTTACAAATTTTAGGATTTGCAGACATGTCCATTTTAGCTTTAGGTGGTATTTCAGTAAGATAAAAATATTACGTTTAAAACCAAAGCGAATATTGTAGAAGGTTGTAGGCGCGTAGACCGAGGAGGTGGTATCTACATTTGCGTGTGGTCACCTCTGTAGTTCTAGAACATTCGTGCGTCAGGCTAAGTGAAACGTATGTAACAACAAGATCAAATACATTCAACAAAAGATTGTGCAGTGAAGATATTGCAATAAATACATGTAAACAAACATTTAGTTAACAAATCTAACACAAAAAACCAAACACCCCTTAATTGCTTCTAGGCGTATAACCCAAAACATCTCAGATGTATTCGGTTACCTCCCTTGTAAGTTGTCTCCCTTTGTTTCTAATTTCATCTTCCCTTTGCAGATTTGACTTCCGTGTTTCTATTCACAAAAGAAGCGAATCTTAACAGTCGTGAAAACTTTCGATTGTCTTATGCTGTAATTGACATAGTTTATTGATTCTTAGCTACAGGAGGAGAAAAGAAAGAAGGTAGGTCACGTGGTTCCATCATCGTCCATGACCTTCCCATCCGGGTCAGACATCCCTTTCTTCATCTGAAAGCTGATGTAGTTGTAGAGGCGGCGCCACGCCTCCATGGTCTCCTTGTTGTACTGCTCGCCCAGCATCTTCTCGAACCCGTGGTTTAGGGACGGCCACAGGCGCTGGAACAGAGAAACAGAGGGATGTTACACTTTGTTTGATTGGTTGAACAGAGAAACATGGATTTTACACTTTGTTTGATTCGTGGAACAGAGAAACGGATGGATGTTACACTTTGTTTGATTGGTGGAACAGAGAAACGGATGGATGTTACACTTTGTTTGATTGGTGGAACAGAGAGCAGATGGATGTTACACTTTGTTTGATCGGTTGATCAGAGAAACAGATGGATGTTACACTTTGTTTGATTGGTGGAACAGAGAAACAGATGGATGTTAAACTGTGTTTGATTGGTGGAACAGAGAAACAGATGGATGATACACTTAGTTTGATTGGTGGAACAGAGAAACAGATGGATGTTACACTTTGTTTGATTGGTGGAACAGAGAAACGGAGGGATGTTACACTTTGTTTGATCGGTGGAACAGAGAAGCAGATGGATGTTACACTTTGTTTGATTGGTGGAACAGAGAAACATATGGATGTTACACTTTGTTTGATTGGTGGAACAGAGAAACAGAGGGATGTTACACTTTGTTTGATCGGTGGAACAGAGAAACAGAGGGATGTTACACTTTGTTTGATTGGTGGAACAGAGAAACAGATGAATGTTACACTTTGTTTGATTGGTGGAACAGAGAAACAGAGGGATGTTACACTTTGTTTGATTGGTGGAACAGAGAAACAGATGGGATGTTACACTTTGTTTGATTGGTGGAACAGAGAAACAGATGGGATGTTACACTTTGTTTGATCGGTTGATCAGAGAAACGGAGGGATGTTACACTTTGTTTGATTGGTGGAACAGAGAATAAGATGGGGTGTTACACTTTGTTTGATTGGTGGAACAGAGAAACGGAGGGATGTTACACTTTGTTTGATTGGTGGAACAGAGAAACAGATGGATGTTACACTTTGTTTGATTGGTGGAACAGAGAATAAGATGGGATGTTACACTGTGTTTGATTGGTGGAACAGAGAAACAGAGGGATGTTACACTTTGTTTGATTGGTGGAACAGAGAAGCAGAGGGATGTTACACTTTGTTTGATTGGTGGAACAGAGAAACGGAGGGATGTTACACTTTGTTTGATTGGTGGAACAGAGAAACAGATGGATGTTACACTTTGTTTGATTGGTGGAACAGAGAAACGGAGGGATGTTACACTTTGTTTGATTGGTTGAACAGAGAAACGGAGGGATGTTACACTTTGTTTGATTGGTGGAACAGAGAAACAGATGGATGTTACACTTTGTTTGATTGGTGGAACAGAGAAACAGATGGATGTTAAACTTTGTTTGATTGGTGGAACAGAGAAACAGATGGATGTTACACTTTGTTTGATTGGTGGAACAGAGAAACGGAGGGATGTTACACTTTGTTTGATCGGTGGAACAGAGAAACAGATGGATGTTACACTTTGTTTGATTGGTGGAACAGAGAAACAGATGGATGTTACACTTTGTTTGATTGGTGGAACAGAGAAACAGAGGGATGTTACACTTTGTTTGATTGGTGGAACAGAGAAACGGAGGGATGTTACACTTTGTTTGATTGGTGGAACAGAGAAACAGATGAATGTTACACTTTGTTTGATTGGTGGAACAGAGAAACAGAGGGATGTTACACTTTGTTTGATTGGTGGAACAGAGAAACAGATGGGATGTTACACTTTGTTTGATTGGTGGAACAGAGAAACGGAGGGATGTTACACTTTGTTTGATCGGTTGATCAGAGAAACGGAGGGATGTTACACTTTGTTTGATTGGTGGAACAGAGAATAAGATGGGGTGTTACACTTTGTTTGATTGGTGGAACAGAGAAACGGAGGGATGTTACACTTTGTTTGATTGGTGGAACAGAGAAACAGATGGATGTTACACTTTGTTTGATTGGTGGAACAGAGAATAAGATGGGATTTTACACTGTGTTTGATTGGTGGAACAGAGAAACAGAGGGATGTTACACTTTGTTTGATTGGTGGAACAGAGAAGCAGAGGGATGTTACACTGTGTTTGATTGGTGGAACAGAGAAACAGATGGATGTTACACTTTGTTTGATTCGTGGAACAGAGAAACGGATGGATGTTACACTTTGTTTGATTGGTGGAACAGAGAGCAGATGGATGTTACACTTTGTTTGATTGGTGGAGCAGAGAAATAGAGGGATGTTACACTTTGTTTGATTGGTGGAACAGAGAAACAGATGGATGTTACACTTTGTTTGATTGGTGGAGCAGAGAAACAGATGGATGTTATACTTTGTTTGATTGGTGGAACAGAGAAACATGGATGTTACACTTTGTTTGATTGGTGGAACAGAGAAACGGAGGGATGTTACACTTTGTTTGATTGGTGGAACAGAGAAACGGAGGAATGTTACACTTTGTTTGATTGGTGGAACAGAGAAACGGAGGGATGTTACACTTTGTTTGATTGGTGGAACAGAGAAACGGATGGATGTTACACTTTGTTTGATTGGTGGAACAGAGAAACAGATGGGATGTTACACTTTGTTTGATCGGTTGATCAGAGAAACGGAGGGATGTTACACTTTGTTTGATTGGTGGAACAGAGAATAAGATGGGGTGTTACACTTTGTTTGATTGGTGGAACAGAGAAACGGAGGGATGTTACACTTTGTTTGATTGGTGGAACAGAGAAACAGATGGATGTTACACTTTGTTTGATTGGTGGAACAGAGAATAAGATGGGATGTTACACTGTGTTTGATTGGTGGAACAGAGAAACAGAGGGATGTTACACTTTGTTTGATTGGTGGAACAGAGAAGCAGAGGGATGTTACACTTTGTTTGATTGGTGGAACAGAGAAACAGATGGATGTTACACTTTGTTTGATTCGTGGAACAGAGAAACGGATGGATGTTACACTTTGTTTGATTGGTGGAACAGAGAAACGGAGGGATGTTACACTTTGTTTGATTGGTGGAACAGAGAAACAGACGGATGTTACACTTTGTTTGATTGGTGGAACAGAGAAACGGAGGGATGTTACACTTTGTTTGATTGGTGGAACAGAGAAACGGAGGGATGTTACACTTTGTTTGATTGGTGGAACAGAGAAACAGATGGATGTTACACTTTGTTTGATTGGTGGAACAGAGAAACAGATGGATGTTAAACTTTGTTTGATTGGTGGAACAGAGAAACAGATGGATGTTACACTTTGTTTGATTGGTGGAACAGAGAAACGGAGGGATGTTACACTTTGTTTGATCGGTGGAACAGAGAAACAGATGGATGTTACACTTTGTTTGATTGGTGGAACAGAGAAACAGATGGATGTTACACTTTGTTTGATTGGTGGAACAGAGAAACGGAGGGATGTTACACTTTGTTTGATTGGTGGAACAGAGAAACAGATGAATGTTACACTTTGTTTGATTGGTGGAACAGAGAAACAGAGGGATGTTACACTTTGTTTGATTGGTGGAACAGAGAAACAGATGGGATGTTACACTTTGTTTGATTGGTGGAACAGAGAAACGGAGGGATGTTACACTTTGTTTGATCGGTTGATCAGAGAAACGGAGGGATGTTACACTTTGTTTGATTGGTGGAACAGAGAATAAGATGGGGTGTTACACTTTGTTTGATTGGTGGAACAGAGAAACGGAGGGATGTTACACTTTGTTTGATTGGTGGAACAGAGAAACAGATGGATGTTACACTTTGTTTGATTGGTGGAACAGAGAATAAGATGGGATTTTACACTGTGTTTGATTGGTGGAACAGAGAAACAGAGGGATGTTACACTTTGTTTGATTGGTGGAACAGAGAAGCAGAGGGATGTTACACTGTGTTTGATTGGTGGAACAGAGAAACAGATGGATGTTACACTTTGTTTGATTGGTGGAACAGAGAAACGGATGGATGTTACACTTTGTTTGATTGGTGGAACAGAGAGCAGATGGATGTTACACTTTGTTTGATTGGTGGAGCAGAGAAATAGAGGGATGTTACACTTTGTTTGATTGGTGGAACAGAGAAACAGATGGATGTTACACTTTGTTTGATTGGTGGAGCAGAGAAACAGATGGATGTTATACTTTGTTTGATTGGTGGAACAGAGAAACATGGATGTTACACTTTGTTTGATTGGTGGAACAGAGAAACGGAGGGATGTTACACTTTGTTTGATTGGTGGAACAGAGAAACGGAGGGATGTTACACTTTGTTTGATTGGTGGAACAGAGAAACGGAGGGATGTTACACTTTGTTTGATTGGTGGAACAGAGAAACGGATGGATGTTACACTTTGTTTGATTGGTGGAACAGAGAAACAGAGGGATGTTACACTTTGTTTGATTGGTGGAACAGAGAAACAGAGGGATGTTACACTTTGTTTGGTTGGTGGAACAGAGAAACAGAGGGAGGGATGTTACACTTTGTTTGATTGGTGGAACAGAGAAACAGAGGGATGTTACACTTTGTTTGATTGGTGGAACAGAGAAACAGAGGGATGTTACACTTTGTTTGATTGGTGGAACAGAGAAACAGATGGATGTTACACTTTGTTTGATTGGTGGAACAGAGAAACGGAGGGATGTTACACTTTGCTTGATTGGTGGAACAGAGAAACGGAGGGATGTTACACTTTGTTTGATTGGTGGAACAGAGAAACAGATGGATGTTACACTTTGTTTGATTGGTGGAACAGAGAAACGGAGGGATGTTACACTTTGTTTGATTGGTGGAACAGAGAAACGGAGGGATGTTACACTTTGTTTGATTGGTGGAACAGAGAAACAGATGGATGTTACACTTTGTTTGATTGGTGGAACAGAGAAACGGAGGGATGTTACACTTTGTTTGATTGGTGGAACAGAGAAACGGAGGGATGTTACACTTTGTTTGATCGGTTGATCAGAGAAACAGATGGATGTTACACTTTGTTTGATTGGTGGAACAGAGAAACAGATGGATGTTACACTTTGTTTGATTGGTGGAACAGAGAAACAGAGGGATGTTACACTTTGTT